CAGAAAGAGAAGCGAGAGCAGCATGTGATATGGGGAAAAGAGCGGATAGATGTTTCGTATACTCCTTTTCGTATGCTATAAGGTTGGACAGGAGACGAGAGTCTGGCAGACGGTGAACCATTAGACACTACACGTATTATGATCGGTCAAGTCGTGCTCGCTGCGTGACACGACAAAGAAGAGTTCCAGCGCGCTGCGGTGAACGACTAATTTGGGAGAAATATTCGGTTAACAAGCTATGACGAACAACAAAGAGTAAACAATGGAGGCTGTGCCATTACTCCTCAAGGTATATACTGATACTTCGTTATTCGGGTCACAGTCATTTCTGGTTAGTACACTTAGGTTGTTGAGATGTCCCTCATGCGGTCCGCTATTTTGCTCTTTTGATTTACTCCAATGCAGTGCTCGGAAACCAATTCCCCGACAACACCAACATTATATTTAAGTACTCCACTTCTGGACAAATACTACCACATGTGGTATGTCCATCTCAACACATTCAACTTGCTCATATAGGACTATAGCTGGCAGCACATGTATGCTCTGGTAGGTTAGGGGGGAGCCAAACAACCAAGTGGAGCAAGGTTGTGAGGCAATTTGAGTGAAAGAGATGGAAGTTAGTTGAGTGTAAGTAAAGGCCTGCTAAATGCAAGGCCTGCTTTCAATGGTACTGGCCATCTCATCAGGCAGACTAACAGTTTATATACCTTTTACCAGCTGAGTGAGAAAATACTGCTGCAGCCTGATCCATTGTCTGGTTATGCATGGGCATAAACAAGTACTGAGAATGGTTGACAAATTGTTCCAGGGTAAGCTGGGCAAAATCATCTGCTTCATCTGGGTATTGCATTGTGAGGAAGTGTAATGGCAGTGGACACCTAATGAAGGGCCAGAGAGGATGTCTAGCAGCTGCAGCTGTAGGGAGGGTTTGAGGGGGGTGGTGGAACTTGAAAGAAGATAACTCCCATTGCACCTCTGCATTCTGGGTTTTAACTTGGTTTCTGTGTGCTTGTCATATCCATGATTTATACAAGTCTCCTCTGCCATCATTCATACTCCTCTACTGTCATCTTTACTCCTATCTTATAATGCTTGTTTCCTTAATAAGGTATACACGAACTAGTGTTCGCACTTTGACAACACAGCCAAATAAAGTACCTGGCACCAGAGAAATACCCTGTGAAAAAAAAAGTTGGACTTACAAGTAGAATCATCCAAGCTAGATGTAGTGGCTCCTTGTTGTCTCCCATGCATTATGGCAAGAGTTAATCTAGGGACATTAAAGCAAGGTGGGTTTAGATATCATACTGGTAGGAGAAAACATACTTTGCCCAACTGCTTGTGCCACAACCTGAATTTGAGTGATGAGGCTCAATCTTGTAAAATAGAAAGTTCTAAAATGTGCATGAGGATACCTGGGATTGAAAGGTTTCCTATACAAGAATCTTAGATTTGGTGCAAGATCCATGAAATAATCTCTCCTCCAAGGAAGGACAATGGTGTAGTAGGGAGGAATCTGATGATAGATCCAATTATATATGTAGGTTTGTCTCCCTGCGATTTTCTGCAGTGGGAAAATGACATGTTAGTTGATAGCCCTTGTTAGCAATATGATGGAAAATGTTCTCCAAGGTTGGCTTCTGCAGTGTTTGCAGGCACTTCAGGCCAACCTGCCTCACTATGAGGCATCATGGTACGGTCCCATCAACATGATGTTGACTACATACTTCCCTGCGGACTGCAACTTCATCGTAAAACCACAACCTCGCCTTCGCCAAGCTCCCGATGCAGGTGGACACTTACATAGGGGGGGGGACGCCCACATTGGGAAGGGAACACTTACATAAGGGGGACACCCATATTGGGAGGGGGACACCCGCATTGGGACAGTCACATGACTGGTGTGCCTGAACTTCCTTGAACCCATCACTTTTCGACTGTTTTCCTTGTATCTCACTAGCATCTATCTATATGTTGTGACTGTTTACAGGGTGCAAACGTCCCCGTCCACCTTTGCCTTATTTGGACATAATTTACATAAGCGTCCACCCGTCCCCCTGGCTTTTTTTCCCATCAGTGTTTTTTCTGCACTTGGATTTCCTCTTTTGGTTAAAGTCACTTATGCAACTTTCCCACTGTCCACCCGTCCCCTTCCCCTTTTGGCAACATACATTATGCAACCATCCCACCGTCCACCCGTCCCCTATCTATTTGAGTTGAAAAATTATGGGGGCATAGATTTTTCCTTCGAGGAAAGTCCTAATATGGTTAGAGAGGGAAAGAGGAAATTATATAATCGGTTACAGAAGGAAAGAAGCATTACATACTTGGTTACAGAGGAAGAACTATGTCTAAAATGGTTAGACTTAATGCCAAGAACAAGGAAAGATGACACAAAGGAAAGGAAAGATGACACAAAGGAAAGGAATGGTGACATAAAGGAAAGGAAAGAAGGTACGAAGGGAAGGAATCATGACTAAGAGCAAAGGAAAGGAAGCATGACTAAGAGGAAAGGTTAGGAAAATCATCACTAAGAGCAAAGGACGAACAAAAGGTTAGGTATTCCTTAATTTTTCCTCGTCCCCCCTAATCTATCTCTCCCTATCCTTTACACTCCATCATATCCACCAATCTCTCAAACACTGCAAAATACTCTATCTCACTCGTCCCTCATGTAAGGTTGACTATCAGTTCAACAGGAAAATGTGAACAAAACATCATAGCTTTGAGACGTGCTAATTGATGACACAAACACAGGTTCTTAGAAAAAGACACTTTCTGAGAGGCATCGGTTGTACTTGGACCGGGGAATCAGTGTACAATATGATTGTATATATACAATTTTGAGTGATTGACTAGGCCAGAATGAGCATCAGGAGCATATGGTGAGTGTAGAGATGAATCGTCAACAAGGTTGGGCATTCCTTAATTTTTCCTAGTCCCCCCTAATCTATCTCTCCCTATCCTTTACACTCCATCATATCCACCGATCTCTCAAACACCGCAAAATACTCCATCTCGCTCGTCCCTCAACTCCACCTCCTCACTTCATCTTTCCCTTCTTCCACTACAATCCTATCATAACAACATCTCAACCATCCTCTTCGCACTCCTCCTCTCATCTCTTACTCAATCCTTCCCTACTAATACTCTAAAATACTTCCTCTTCATCTTCATCTCCATTCGCTACTCATCTCACACCAGAGCCCATACCTAGTCTACTTTCTCAATCTCAACCCCTATCTATAACAATACAACTATGTGAACCGCTCTCCCCCGTCTCATGTAAAATAAGTGCTACCAGGGCGTAGCTGCTCCACTACCTGCCCAGCCTTTCAAATCTCCCTCACCTTTCGTCCTTTTCCTCACTTCGGCCCCTAGCCTTTCATCTCCATTAGCCTTCGTCCATTTGGTTACTCCGGTGCCCAGCCTTTCATCTCCGTCGCCCTTCATCCGCCGCTAATCTTCGCCTATCCCATCCCTGACTTCTTCGCCTCTCTCGCCACTTAAATTCTGCTATTTCATCCCCCCCTGCTTTTTGCTCTTCCATCCTACTCATCTCCTTCATACTCATGTCCTTAGATAATGCCAATTCAAGACGCAATTGGGAGCACACCTCCCAACCTGGTCTCGTCACCATTTCTGGCATTCAGTATCGCATCTCTCGTGCCCCAGATGGCTCCATCTGCTGTCCTGTTCCTGCCTGCCCAGGTACCTTCAACAGGAGGTCCGCCTTCAAGACCCACTTGAAAACTAGTCCGTCTCTCCTTCTCTCCCTTTATCTCTCTCTATCTCTTCCTTATCTCCTTCCTCCTTTCCAGATCATCTATCTCCCCCTCACTCCTCGCCTCCGTCCTCCCCAACTTCAACCTCGTGCGTTCCCCTTTTTTCTCTCCATCCCCCCTTTCATATATCTACTTTCATCCTCCCCTCCCACCCTACCTTTCTCTTTCCATCTTCTTCTCTATCCTTTCTCATCCCTCTCATTATTCTCTTCCAGTTCTTCCTCAAGCCCCCCTCCCTCTTCCTCCCCCCTCTCTCCAGCCGTCCCTCGATGAATTTCAACTCGATCCCAGTCCGTCTTTCTCTCTCTCCTCCATATATCTACTCCCTTACCCTTCGTTCCCTCAAGCTTATCTCTCGCGTCGTCCTTAATCCTGGCCAAGATTATCTTCTCTCCACCCCCCTTTTGGATCAGCTCGGCCTCTCTTTCCCCAACGGCCCTCAACATTTTCATCTGTATCGCCTGCAAAAAGTCTCTCACCGCCCTGCCATGGT